ATTCTTTCATTCAGTCATTCATTCATTCTTTTTTCATTCATTCATTCATTCAGTCAGCTGCCCAAGACCACTTTGGAGATTACCTCAAATCCACAGGACCTACCTTCTTCACGGACGCTTATAACAAGTGGCTTAAAACGGTTAGTGAAAAAAATATTATTTTTAATTATTTTTTTATTATTCTTCTACTGCTACTTTTACTACTACTACCACTACTACTACTACTACTACCACTACTACTTCTACTACTTCTACTGCTACTACTACTGCTACTACTGTGACGACAATGATGATGATAATGATAGTACTGATGATCACAAGGAAAAACCCAAAGATCCTAAATACGCCCAAGATAACAAGTTAACTGTGACGAAACTCCCGCCAAAATACTTCTTCCCCACGTACGACAAAAGCGAAAGTGAAACTCTGTCGCAGAAGTGTCTGCCCGAAAACTTCATAAACCTTTCGAGACAGGCGCAGGCTGTCTGCCGGAAGTTGATATTCACAGTCTTTGATAACGAAATCATTTCTCCGAACTTAGAAGACGACGACAACAATAACAACGACAATAATAACAACAACAAGAACAGTAATAACAACAATTACAACAATAATAATAATAATAAAGTTGTTGATGATGCCGAAATTAAACGTCATCGTCATCACAGAAAAAGCATCAAAAACAACAACAACAACAACAACAACAACAACAATAATAATAATAACAATAATAATAATAATGTCGAAAATATCATTTCCGAGAACGAGCGTTTATATAATAATCTAAAGAATGATCTAAACAACAACAACAATAATAATAATAATAATAACAACAATAATAAAAATAATAAAAATAATATCATTAATAATAATAATACTAATAAAAATAATAATTATTATAATAATTATAGTTATAATAAGCAGAAATACGCCTACACCGACCATGATTGGCTGCATGCGTACATGCTGACTGGGACCTGGAAGAGAAGCGACAATGTCAACATTTCAGAAGCCATTCCAAACTTAACTCTCGCCAGGAATGTGATCAAATCATGGTGATTCGTGTTCGTTTACGCACACACACACACACACACACACCACACACACACACACACACACGCATTCACACACCACACATACACACATTCACACACATACGCCACACACACGCATTCACACACACACACGCACACATTCACACACATACGCACGCGCACATACACGCACACATTCACACACACCATACACACACACACGCACACACATAAACACACACGCGCACATTTATTGTAATTAGTATATACAAACCAACGATAATGCAGTCGTGTTATAAGCCTTTTTTCTAGTAAAAATAAACCCTGGTGTACTTTCTATGCTTTTACGTCAGATTAATTGTTCTATGTTTTAAAATTGGAAGGTTGATGTGAGGATGGATGGATGAAGGAAGGAAATAATGGATGAACGAATGAATGGATGAATTAATGGATGAATTAATCAATCGGTGAATTGATGAATGAATGAATGAATAAATGAATGAACGAACGAACGAATGAATGAATAAATGAATGAATGAATGAATGAATGAATGAATGAATGAATGAATGAATGAATGAATGAATGAATGAATGAATGAATGAATGAATGAATGAATGAATGAATGAATGAATGAATTAACGTGTAACTAGACAAAGTTATCAATCGATAAAAACCTAAATAAATAAATGAACGATCGAACGAACAAAAGAACGAACTAACAAATGGATGAATAAAATAGACAGAAACATGAATAAAAGCAGTTTGATAACAAAACACGCCCACACACACACACACACACGCACACACACACGCACAAACACACACACACCTAGCCGTATAATCCAAAAGTTACTTGCAAGGAAAATTATTACAAAGCTTATCTTCCTGGTTACTCCTGTCAAATTGTATCACGATGATGATACAAAAATTGTAATGGCTCATGACCATAAATTTATAATTATAGCTATAACAACAACAACAACAGCAACAATAATAATAATAATAATAGTAGTAATAATAATAACTCACGTGATGTATTGGTTTTCTTTGGCCACAGAGAAGTAGAATCTTCTTTGTATGCCCCCGGCGCAAGGTCTTGAACAATCAGACCACGATGTCCAACCAATGGCTGTTTGTTTGTATGTTTGTATATATGTATGTGTGCGTGTATGTTTGTATGTATATGTACGTATGTATACTCGAGATGTATGTATGTATGAGATGTTTTATGTACATTGTATAATACACGAAGCATAAACGAACCTGCACATCTTACAATGTTTCCAACATTAACCAGCTGAGAACCGCCTAAACAAGATGGTGTCACACACGGAACGTAGAATGACGTCATTCTGTGTGTACGTGTGTGTATGTATGTGTGTGTGTATGTGTGTATGTTTTTGTATGTATGACTTTTTAATTGTATAAACTAACCTAATAGACGACCCATAGTTGTCGTTTTTGAGGGATATAATATCTTGGTGGCAGGTCCTGGGTGGAAGCTCTAAGGACATGCAAGGGGGGTTGAGTTGGCCCGGCTGAGCTCCCAATCCGCCACACACTCCTGTGATTTTGATTATTAGTAGTAAAAATGGTAAGGAAGCGACAACCGAAAATGCTGACGACTTCGTTGTGTGATCAGTTGTGTTGGTGTCAGTTGTGTTTTAACTCTATTTGACTCAAAAAAATAATCTTGTTCAATCAAGCAATCAATCAATCATCAATCAATCAACCAATCAACAACCAATTATCAACCAATCATCAATCAATCAACCAATCATTAACCAATCATCAATCAATCAACCAATCTTTAACAAATCAATTAGCCAACTAATCAACAATCTTCCTCACCATTTTGTGCACTGCCAGGTGCACACTTAGCTACCATCTGCATGTAGAGAAAATTTTTTGGAATCGAGTTAGTGTACGTCTTGTCAACTTTACTGGGGTCACTCAAAACCCAACAGTCGTTATTGGATGGATTCCAGCCAATGGCAATGCAAGTGGCAAACGATTGGCAGTACTTCATGCAATCAGGTAAGAGCATGGGCACACTCATTTTAATGTTGCCTTCTGATTGGATGCCCTGTTTTATCTTCCAAACCCTCTGGCACGGTGCTTGAATGTGATTGGTTAAAAAATTTTCATTTGTTATAGTGTATAGGGCTATAAAGATTAATTCTCTCGCAAATAATTTTCAGAAGTATTAACGTGTATTGCTTGTGATAGATGAGGATATCTCTGCGATTGAAGCCGGTCCCTGCAACAGCAAGGCCATACACCTTAACCATTACACCAACATGCAAACCTGTTAGATCCTGCATTGGACACCTGGAGGAGAGCTGGTACTGGACTGTGTTGGAGTCGGGAATGATGTTGTCGAAGTCTTGAGACCTCTCGTGTAAAAAACAACGCGCCGGCCCGCTTGTGAGTAAGTTCGATAGGTCAACATCAATTCCGACACAGTTTGAGCCGGCGAGACAGGCCTTCAGACAGGATTCAATCGTCGTCTGACTGTCGTCTAGACGTCCACCGTATGAGAAGTAGCCGTAGTTAATGATCCACTTAGCATTGCAGTCTGTCGTTATTGAGGATGTTGTTGGTTGTTGTTGTGTTGTTGTTGTTGGGACAGGCTCTGTGGGTTGTGTTGTTGTTGTTATGGTTGTTGTTGATGATGTTGTTTTTGTTGATGTTGTTGTTGTTGTTGTTAAAAAAAACATAAAACTCATCACTGAATTAGACACTTTCAAATGGGATCAACGTATTTTAAGGGTGTCCTCTAGCAAAACCACACTCACTGTTAATCAATCGCCCAACCAAATAAATTTTTTATTTTTTTTTTGAGAAGTTAGTTGGCTACTACTACTACTACAACTACTACTGTTACTACTACTACAACTACTACTACATTACTACTATTACAACTACTACTACACTACTACTACTACAACTACTGCTACTACTAAGACTAATAATGATAATGACATCTTATAAATTCAACCAAACATCCAATCCCGTCTTAATGACCACCGACTCAGACTCAAACTAACCAGTTTCTATAGGGCACCTCTTTGTTAGGATATATTGATTTACAGCGAGATCCTGATACACACGCTGAAAGTTTCTGGCATCCTTGTGAACCCAACATTCGTTGGGATTCGCATTCCAATTGTAGTCAACTCCCATGCAGTCCGGAAGACCGACGCAGTAGGTCATACAATCGCTTTCTGACGTCACATGGGTTGTTAAATCCGCCCCGGCTGAGTGCACCCCCGACCGGGTCTGCCATTCCGGTTGGCAGGGTGAGCCTAGATGAAAAAAGTTTACAAAAATTACGGATTTAAGAGCTTTTGTAGAAAACTGAAGAGAGATATCTAGCTAAGAACAAAAAAAATTTGTAAATAAAAAGTATGTAGAATGTCAAATGGGGACAAAAGTGTAACACCAGTAAGTGAGACGCTGAAAGACGAACTATTACATAAAAATTAAAATATAAATAATAACAAACCTGGCGATTTTGTAGTAGTTGTAGTTGTTGTGGTGGTGGTTGTGGTAGTAGTTGTGGTAGTACTGGTAGTAGTAGTAGTAGCGACAAACGCCGTGGTGATGCCATTTCCGTTCTGACATCTATTGATAATTTTAATCTGAGTAATCGAGCCCGAGTCGACTCGATTCTTAATCGTATTCGAATCGTGCCACCAGCACTGGTTTGTATCGGAATTGAAATCGAAACCGACACAGGCGTCGTTTGACAGGCAGTACTCCAAACATGATTGGATGCCGGATCTGTCAACCAGCAAAACTCCGCCCAAAGAACTAGTCCCACCGCTTGTTGAGTAGTTTGGACAATTTGCTCCTAGCGTATTTTTTTTATTTTCAGATTAATTTTTTAAATTAATTAATTAGTTTGCAATCAAATTTTCGGCTATAAAATAAAATCTATATTAAATTATTTTAAAAAAAATAAAATTAAGCATTTTTTAGCGTAAAATTATTAACTTCTAATTCGGTATTTCAACTTTATCCCAACCACTTTGCATGTGGTTGGCGTGGATCTCTATGCGATCGAAGCCAGTTACTGCAGCATCAATGTCAGGACCCTTAACCGCTACACCATCACGCCAATCATCCTTTAGTTATCAGTTTTTCCGCCCATTTCACACACACACACAAACACACACGCACATAAAAACATACCAGGTCTTCCGGTAGTAACTACAACAGCAGCAGTAGTAACAGCAAAAGCAGCAGTAGTAGTTGCAGCAACAACACCAGTAGTATCAATAAACACCCTTGTGATCGTAGTAGTAGTTGTTGTAGTCGTAGTAGTAGCGACGGGAGTGGTTAAAGCAGTCGCGACACCGACGTCGCCACATCTTTTTAAGTTGGCGTGCTTCACTCCGGGTTTGTAATAGATTGTTGTATTAGTTGCGCCGACGATGTGAACCCAGCATGAGAAGGTGTTCGAGTCAAAATCAATGGCAATACACGTGTCTAAATTGAGGCAGTAATTTTGGCATCCATCTATCGATGACCTTTGACCTATACTGACCCCACCAACTTGACTCGCGTCTGAAGTTATCGACCAGGATGGGCAGGCTGTAATAGGATAATAGCGATGACGCTGATGATGATGATGATGAGGATGATGATGTGATGATTGTGTGGATGATGATGATGTTTGGTGATGATGATGATTGTAATGATGACGCTGACACTGATGATGATGATGAGGATGATGTGAGGATTGTGGGGATGATGATGAGGATGATGTGAGGATTGTGGGGATGATGATGTTTGGTGATGATGATGACTGTAGTGATGATGTAATGATGATTGTGATGATGATGATGAAACAATGTTTCACCGTCTGACATAGATATTAATACTTTACATGACAAACAGCATGCAAAACTTCCTACAAACTTACAAGTAGTAGTAGTAGCGGCAGCAGCAGGTGTAGCAGCCACAGAAACGACGCACGGCTGGTTGAACGTCACGTGAGCAACGCCATCATTAGCATAAAACAACGAAGATCTTATATCATTATAATGCAACCAACACGAGTTATCATTATAGTTGTAGTCGAAGCCAAAGCAGCCAAAATTGCCGCTACTTGTGGCCGGTGTAGTACCACACTTTTGAAAGCAGTCGCTAGCCGTAGTTACGTATGGGTCGGTGATTTTTGAGCCGCCAACAACAGATACTCCTGGGATAATTCTTGACTGTGGACACGGTTCTACGGTGTGTCAGTGTGTGTGTGTGTGTGTGTGTGTGTGTGTGTGTGTGTGTGTGTGTGTGTGTGTCTGTGTGTGTTTTATGTATGTACCTATGTATTGTAAATTCGTGAATAACAGCAATAACAACAACAACAACAAGTATAATAATGATAATAATAACAACAACAGCAACAGCAGCAACAACAACAACAACAACATCAACAACACCAACAACAACATCAACGACAACAACAACAGCAGCAACAACAACAACAACATCAACAACATCTACAACAACATCAACAACAACAACATCAACAACAACAACATCAACAACAACAACACGAACCAACACCCACCAACAATATCGCAGGCCATCTTGATAAACAGGAAACTCTTATACCCGTACGTCACACCGCCTACGTCATACGTCTTAATGTAGCACGTGACCGACGACGATGACGTCATCGCTACTTGGAAAGCGCCGCATAGCGGCATGTTGAGGCAGTAACTTCGGCAGCTTTCGAAGTCGGTGATTGTCGGGATTTGAACTGCGTCGTAAAGTTGTACGTCTACAAGTTCTTTCCATTTAGCACATACTGTTGTGTTTAATTAATATTATAATTTGTATTTATAATTATGAATCATAATTTTTATAAAAATGTTTGTACTGCTACTACTACTGCAACAACTACTACTGCTGCTGCTGCTACTGATACTACACTAACACTACTAAGTATGAAATGAATTTTAATAATGAAAGTTTAAGAGAACATTGTTAAAAACCTGGAGTGGTGGTGGTAGTAGTTGTTGTTGTTGTAGTTGTAGTAGTAGTAGTTGTGGTTGTTGTAGTAGCGGCAGTAGCTTTAAAAGTGGTCCTGCGGTCATCGTTATTGTTAGAACATGAAGACCTGTCTATCTGATATTGGGTGACACCTGTCGTGAAAAAATTAAAATGGGAAATAAACCAAACAACCAACCAACCAATCAAACAAACAACCAATCAACCAATCAAACAACCAACCAAACATTCAAACAACCAACCAAACATTCAAACAACCAAACAACCATCCAACCAATCAAACAAACAACCAATCAACCAATCAAACAACCAACCAAACATTCAACAAACCAACCAACCAACCAATCAAACAATCATCTAACCAAACAACCAAACAACCAACCAAACATCCAAACAACCAACCAAACATCCAAACAACCAACCAACCAACCAATCAAACAAACAACCAACCAATCAAACAACCAACCAACCAATAAACCAACCAACCAATAGTGGAATACTTTTTAGAAAATTTATTTGGATCTTCATAGAGGAAGCATCTAATGTCGGAATAAGCCGCAAAATCGATCCCAAGGCATTCTGGCGAATCTGTGCAGGCCCGCTGGCATTGCTGTAACGTCAGTGAAGCTGACAAATTTTGACCTCCAACCGAGTTCACGTTCACTGACGTTCTCCAAGCTGGACAGGGTCTGTAGGCTGGGTGGTGATGATGACAATGATGATGATGAGGAGGATGATGATGATGAGGAGGATGATGAGGATGAGAATGATGATGATGATGATAATGAGAAGGAGGAGGAGGAGGATTATGATGATAAGAATGATGATGATTATGATGATGATTATGATGATGATGATTATGATGATGATGATGAAGAGAATGATGATGACGGTGATGATGATGATGATGATTACAGTCAAGGTGGATAATCGTCAGCAACACCATCATCACACCACAGTCACAATCGTCATCATCTTTACAATTATCATCATCAAGACCTCTCAGATTGATGTTAAATCCTCTGTAGGAGCCGGAAGTGCCGTCAATGTTATAGGACCGGAAAAGGATGAGGATCTCGTTACTGTCTGACGTCATCGTGACGCTCGGGGTTGTGCTGCAGCAAAATCTGTGCGCAAAAATTTGAACTTTGAAAAAATACAACCCAACTTAAGTGATGTGGGGAAATGTAGAGATAGAAGATTAGTACAGAAAATTTAATGTAGCCTGGAATGCGTTTATGCATTCTCTGTCATCATCATCGTCGTGTCCTCATCATCGTCATCATCATCACCACAATCATCATCATTATCATCACCACAACCATCATCATCATCATCACTACCACTCACTTGGGCCCGTCATAGTAGAGGGGCTGGATGTACCTGACCTCTACCCAATGGGAGCACACCTCATCAACACAGTAAACCCCGAAATCCCCCGAAAATGATAAGTCTATTACGTAGCCAGGGGCGGTCTGATGTAACGGTATAATGATAATTGTGGAAATATTATTAATAAATGATCCATCCATCTATCATAATTCTATCTATCTATCCATCCAACCACCCATCCATCCATCTATCATGATACTAAAAACGGTAATAAATTTGTTACCATCACAACCCATGTACAGTAATGAACTGAAGCTCTGTAGTATCTAGGGTTGTTATAGCCAGGCGACTGAATTGTCGCGTTCGCTTCTGCAGTCAGGTCGACCAGCTGAGAGCCACAATCTAATGTGGAGGGTTTTTTTGAATGGATGAATGAATAAATGAATGAATGAATGAATGAACGAAAGAACGAATGAATGCATGAATGAATTAATGATAGATGGTTGGTTGGATAGACAGAAGAACGAAAGAATGAGTGAATGGATTAACGAATGAACGAGCAGAAGGGCAAACAAATAAATGAATACTAATTATAAAAATAATAACAACAAAAATTAATAACAATAAAAATAACGATAATGATAGCCAAAAATACTCTGTTCGTTATGTGGGGCGTAATATTGGCAGAGGTTCCCAGCATAACCATCGGGGCAGATGCACCGGTTGCAGTTGTTGCTGTCTGGAAAACCATTGTTACTACAGTCCGGTCGGCTGGAGCAAGAAGCTGTTTAGTTGGTTGGTTGGTCGATTGGTTGGTTGGTTGGCTGGTTGGTTGGTTGTTTGGTTGGTTGGTTTTTGGTTGGTTGGTTGGTTGGTTTTTGGTTGGTTGGTTTTTGGTTGGTTAGTCGGTTGGTTAGTCGGTTGGTTAGTCGATTGGTTCATCAGTTGGTCAGTCGGTGGTTAAACTCGTTCAATTATCTAAATAATAGAAAATCAGCTTTCAATCAATCAATCAATCAATTAGTCAGTCAGTCGTCATTAAATCAATCAAACAATCATTCACTCAGTCGTTCATTCATTCATTCAACCAATCAATCCTCAATCAATCAATCACTCAACTAACAATAGCAATAGAGTTGGTTGAGTGTGGACTTATCTAGAAATGACAGTTGAACTCTTTGACCCATTGAACTTTGAAACAATTTATCTTTGGCAGTCATGGTTGGCTGGTTGTTCCATGATAAATACTGTTAAAATGAAATTTTTCATAAATATTATTTAATTAATTATAAAAGCATTTTTAATTAGTTATTTTTGTTTCTTTTTTTGGTTGATTGTTCGCTCGTTCGTTCGTTCGTTAGTTCATTTGTTTGTTCGTTTGTTTGTTTATTCTTCCAAATCACATCGTAAACCGTTCAAAACCAATTAATCAAGCAATTAATTACTCTATTAAACCATCATCAATCAATCAACTAATCAATCAATCAACCAACCAACTAACTTTTGGAGATTGTTGGGTGATAGATCCGTAGTCATATGGCAAATTGCTGGCATTCAGCTTAGCGTCAGAAGGAGGCAAAGTGCTAAAAAAGAAATAATTAGCAGGAGAAAC